GAAGAATATAGCTCAAGGCGCAATAGTCTCAAGACCATTAACTGCATGCGAACCAAAAGGCTGATTGACCTCATTATATACCTACTGTACCAGCCTTTTCCAAAGATCGCCATGGGCTAATAAAGTGGAGTATGCACTGGTTATCTTCTTCTCCAATAAGGATTGTCGATGTGGATACAGTAAACCCCCGTTAAATACAACCAAAGATTTTTCTAGAAAAAGTTGTAATTAGCGAGGGTTGCATTTATCGAAATGGATCAACGTTTAGGCTGTGGTCCCGGACCATTCACCAAAAAGTTTTACCTCGAAAAAAAAAAGAACTTATTATCACTTCCTTCAGTTTCTTGATCGTGCTCTTCTTTCACGTTATTATCATGCCCGAAACACGTCGAGAGCGTTGTAGAAAGAACGTATCATTCACCAATTATCAACGTCAGGAGCTGTTCAAGCATTACAAAGAAAAAAACAAAGCGAACAAGTTTACCTATTCAATGTTAATTTCCTGGGCAACTACAAGGTTTAAACTCTGGACAAGTCAACTATTTCAAGGCTTATTGCGTGCATGGAAAAGGAAGAGGAAGAAGGTGTAATTCGTATCCAAACCGGAAGAAGGCTTCAAAAGGCCAGATTTCCCGTATGTTTCGATATAATAATAAGTGCAATAATCAATTTAGACAGTATAATATTGATGAGCTCAAAACACATGGCTACAACGTATATAGGAAGTCGAGGATGCTGTAATGTTGTGGATAAACGTCGCCGAAAACAATCATATCCCGGTCACTTGGAGCATAGTTCATACTAAGGCGGTTAACTTTGCAGAATGCTTAGGCAAGGATTTCAAAGGGTCGAACGGGTGGATGCACCGTTTTGCTCGACGTCATGGGCTACGTAAACATACACTTCATGGTGAAGGCGAATTTGTTGAAGCGAATGCCATTCTCGAAAACAGGGACAAAATGCGCGACAAACTTTCTCAATATGATCGACGTGATATATGGAATATCGATGAAACAGCATTGTTCTTCACTGCCCAGCCTCGGAGTACCATCACCCAAAAAGGGTTCTCTAGATTCAAGGAAAACAAAAAATGGCTCACGGTAGCTCTTTTGTGCAATGCAGACGGCTCAGAAAAATGGGAACCGATGATAATTGGTAAACACAAGAAACATACATGCTTCGTGGACTCGACCGGCAAGCGAAAAGAAGCGTACGAGCTCGGTTTTTGGTTTTAGTTTTATAATCAAAAGGCATAGATGAAGCGAAACATTTTCGAGCACTATATCACGCGTTTCGATAAAGCCATGCATTACGAAAATCGACGTGTCTTGTTCTTGACAACTTTAGTGGTCATGCTATTGATGCTGTGCTCACGAATGTCGAATTATTTTTCTTGCCGCCAAACACTACTGCAAAGCTACAGCCACTCGATGGTGGGATCATCCGAGCTTTCAAAGCTCATTATAAACGAATGCAATTTGACAAGACCTACCGTCAAATAAGTATGACACAAATAGGTCGTCCAGAAGTCGTTGGTCCGCTTGAAAAATTGTTCGATGTCAGCCAGTTGCAAGCCATGAGGTGGATTAAAAAAGGCTGGGGCAATATAAAGCGAGAAACAATTGTCAATTGCTGGGATGCTAGTATTTATCGAATGACGGCGCAAGAGGACGACGCATCACCTGAAGCAGTCAATGCCATTACGCATCAAGACCTTTTCATGCAGCAACATTTACAACAACAAATCGAACAAATTGCGTCCATTGGAAATATCAGCATCGACAAATGTCCAACATCTGAAATTGATCCTGACCATGAACGCCAGATAATCTATGGCAATTACAGTGACGATGAAATTATAGAATTAATTACAGAGGACATGCAACAAATATCTATAAACGAAGAGTCTACAGCCACGGAATCCGCCAACAATCCAAGCACCAACATTGTTAACTTGTCTGCAAGAGAAAAGGCAACGACCATGCTTAACCTTTTTCAAATTTTTGATGCCGAAGATAGTTTGGATAATGACATTGTTGCTGCACTTACAGCACTTACAACCCTCCGTACCAAGCTTGTACCAGAATTATACAGCCAACAATCCCGCTTGACGCGATGTTTCTCTTCTTCCAATAGAAATTAACATATAATAAAGGACAAAGCTGATTAAATTTTTAATATCAACACCCTTCCGATGTGGTGAAGTTTCATTAAAGCGGAAAAGATGCAAATTCACTATGTTTTGAAAAGATTTTTTCTGAAAACGTAGATATTGATGAGGGTTGCAATTATAGGGGGTGTATTTAATGGGGGTTTACTGTATAAAGATGCTAAATGTGAGCACTTCTCCACCTCTCCTGTACTACAAACACTGTTAATGGATCTAATAAGTATTTACAACACAATACCAGCACTTCCACCTCCAATGCAGCCATTGGATTATCTTATTAACAGCCTTCCAAGATCTGAGGTTGGGCCCACTCTGGGTAAATGGAATACAGCTTGGCCAGCGCACATGCGAGTTCTAAGGAAAATTGATATCCTTAGTCACACGAATGAAATCTTTCACTAGGTTGAACAAGCTCTAGAGGAAGTAATGGAGTTATCCACCACCACAACAACAACACCACACCAATGATACACTTCTCTTATGTATTATAACCGCATCTCCTCCTGACTTTTCTTTATAATTTAATTTAATTTATTTTAACTTCTTCTACAAAACTACACGTGCACGTAAACAAGCGTAACTTTTCCCCTTACTGGGGGTTTTTTTTAGTTATTAGTTATAGTAACTTTTATCTACTCTAATCTGTAGATATTTTTCTTCTTATTTGTACCGCAAGGAAGCGAACATATGCCCAAAGGCGCCGGTTACCTCCGCCTTCCACTTCAATAAACGAAATATTTTAAACTACACGTGCATAAGGGTGGGAAGCCAAACAGCCAAAAAGAGAAAAAAGCAGTCAAACAACTCAGCTCCGTGGTTAAGAACCAGGCATTCTCCATGTTGACAATATAATTTCACAGCCTTATCGTTGTGTTATGGTGTAATCTTTTTAATGTTTAAGGTAACATCAAATCAAAATGCTGTTGGATTAATCCTTTTGTTTTCTTACTTTGGAATACATTTTCCCGAAATTATCTCTTTTATACAATTTATATTGAGCGATGGCCTTCCTCCTTTTCCAAGTGTTCGAATTTCTCGCAGCCTGGTACGTATTATTTTATGTTATTAAGCCGTTTATGTCCATGGCACCACAATACTGATGGTTTAATGCATCTTTATTCATTAACTAACAGGTACTTTGAGATCCATATGAAAAAAGAACTTACATCGCCAAACGCGGCACGTTTCGATAAAAAGATGGAAAGCTCTCCTACATCCCAGGGACTTTGAAAGGATGTGGCCTGAGCTGCCGCGAGCAATTCAGATGGACTTTTTGGCTATCCCTGCCATGAAAAATTCCTCCACATGGTGGTGGTAGCAAAAGCTTTTTGTTTGCCGTTGCCTTGTGCTTGGTAGTCGTCGGGTTGTCAGATGTAACGAGAAGGACGCGGCACGTTTCGATAAAAAGATGGAAAGCTCTCCTGCATCCCAGGGACTTTGAAAGGATGTGGCCTGAGCTGCCGCGAGCAATTCAGATGGACTTTTTGGCTATCCCTGCCATGAAAAATTCCTCCACATGGTGGTGGTAGCAAAGCTTTTTGTTTGCCGTTGCCTTGTGCTTGGTAGTCGTCGAGTTGATATTGCCTTCTCGTGTGTTCTTTTACCGGTGCTTGTCTGGCGTTGAATAGGTAAGGACTGAATTCGACTTACAGAATTTGTTTTGTGGTTGCTGTTGGAATTATTCTTTTGTTTTCTTACTTTGGAATACATTTTCCCGAAATTATCTCTTTTATACAATTTATATTGAGCGATGGCCTTCCTCCTTTTCCAAGTGTTCGAATTTCTCGCAGCCTGGTACGTATTATTTTATGTTATTAAGCCGTTTATGTCCATGGCACCACAATACTGATGGTTTAATGCATCTTTATTCATTAACTAACAGGTACTTTGAGATTCATATGAAAAAAGAACTTACATCGCCAAACGCGGCACGTTTCGATAAAAAGATGGAAAGCTCTCCTGCATCCCAGGGACTTTGAAAGGATGTGGCCTGAGCTGCCGCGAGCAATTCAGATGGACTTTTTGGCTATCCCTGCCATGAAAAATTCCTCCACATGGTGGTGGTAGCAAAAGCTTTTTGTTTGCCGTTGCCTTGTGCTTGGTAGTCGTCGGGCTGTCAGATGTAACGAGAAGGACGCGGCACGTTTCGATAAAAAGATGGAAAGCTCTCCTGCATCCCAGGGACTTTGAAAGGATGTGGCCTGAGCTGCCGCGAGCAATTCAGATGGACTTTTTGGCTATCCCTGCCATGAAAAATTCCTCCACATGGTGGTGGTAGCAAAGCTTTTTGTTTGCCGTTGCCTTGTGCTTGGTAGTCGTCGAGTTGATATTGCCTTCTCGTGTGTTCTTTTACCGGTGCTTGTCTGGCGTTGAATAGGTAAGGACTGAATTCGACTTACAGAATTTGTTTTGTGGTTGCATTTTATTAACGACGGGGGGAAATGGAAATAATGATTTTGTTTGCAGTAAATATTGGCCTCTGGTAAAAAATATAACATTTGCATCAACTTTCCGACACTTAATATTTGATAATCGATGTAGTAAGGTAATAAAGATATATAGCGTTAATAATTCTATTGTATTCTAACCCAAAAATAATAGAGCAGGGAGTTAACATAACCCATGACAATATTTTATCCGATAAAGAAAAATTACACTGGGCTCCCAATTCTTGTTACAGACGAAAGACTATGTGATGAAGCGTAGGCATGCACACAAGAGTGAATAGAAAGACATATTAATGACATTATTTAACCTGTTCGTCCATCCCATCCATATTATATACAGCCATTGCATTTGTACCGCCCTTTTTTTTTCTCTTGTAAAATTAATGTATACTTGTTTATAACACTTAAAAACAATCTAGATGATGAGTGAAAGGATATTAAATGTTTCCGGATCACTTCAACAGAAAACAATTGAATTGAATTGATGTTTTATACAAGAAATTGGTTGAAGCATCTTGCCCTTTTACTAGATGTCGAGCTTATAAATATAGGCGAAACTGAAGAATAGAGTTTATGTTTGCCTGAAGAGTCGTATTTGGCTACTTTACGATAGTAATTGAAACAAGGTCTCACTGATAACATGGATTAGATGCACTTAGTAAATTTGCGAACATAGTTCGTTTCCTTGTAGGAAAAAAATTGGTGAGTATAAATAAATCTATGTAGCATCTTGGAATTAGATCGAATAGCCTGGCACGTTGCACGCCCCATGATCCCAGTAAAGATCAAGTGGATAGTTTTGAAGATGATCCGTGGTTTTGGCCTGGCAGATATGCGGAGCACATTAGTGTATGAATGAAAAAAACCCGCATAGTACACGAAGAAAACAAGCTGTGTCTGCATGAATACACTCAAGATAATTTATTGTCCATAGTAACGAAAACTGAAGTAGAAAACATTGGCTGCTGTTCTTTGAGCTTTTTTTAACTCGATATATGTTTAATATATCTGACGAAATATATAAAGAATCTGTTCCCAGTCTATGACCTAAGGTATCCATACAAAACACTTTTCGGAGATCGCGTCCATTCTTGACGAAACCAGCATCGTGGTGTTAGATTACCTAAAATACAGAAACGCATCTCGTTAGTAAATCATAATAGACAATGTTTTCAAACAACTGTACACACACACACTTTCTCCCTATCTCTCTGTTACAGTAATCATCTGCTAGTAATTTCGACTTTGTAGATCCTGAGCAACAATTTTGTAGTTATCCGGCGTTGTCTTTTTCTTTCTGTTTTGCTTCTAAAAGTTCCTACCTACTCAGCAGTAACTACCCCATGTTCTCCTCTATGTTTATCAGCTTTATTGCCACTAGTATCATGGCATGATGAAAAAAAACGAGTACCAATGATTCCACCTTTTTTTTTGCAACAGCATCTTTGTTCTTCACATATTTCACCAGAAGGCCCTTCAAGGAGTCCTTACACTGTATTAACTTATCCACAGTGCCGTTTTTATTATTATTTTTTACCATATATAATAATCCACGACAAGGATTTGCATAAAACCGACCTGTATTGTGCTTTGTCTATGTCCATGCAAACTTATTTTGCCTTTGGGTGATTTTCACCATTGTTGGGTTCACATGTTAATACCCACGCATTGTAAATAACTGGTTCTCTCACTTCAATATAAAGATCTATGTAAATATTGCAAAAGAAAAAAATTATAGAAGAATCATCAATATCACATGATTTATTTATTTTTGGCTCCGGTCTGTAACCCAAGCTAATTCCCCCAGATAACTCATTATAAGAATTTTTTTTTTGCGACATTACTTTTTAAAAAACCTGTTTTAAAATATTCAAATGTCTGCTATATCCAAATACAAAGGAAAAGTGTTTGACACTTTAGAATCTTCATTACCAAGACGCTCCATTTTTGTGAACAAGCCTATTGAGGAATGGTCTTTCAAAAATTATGTAAAGCACCATCCACGAGCTGACCCAGCTACTATTTTGGCAAATATGAAAAAAGATCTTGACTGGTTAGCATTATGTGACCTTCCCATGGACGTCAAGCGTCATGTAGGAACACTAATTAAAGAATCAACGGTAATTTTCATTTCCCATTGAGAGTAAACCGATTGATACTAACTTTGGATAATAAAAATTAGAAAATATTCATTGACGATGTAAAGAAGTGGTTACAGTCAAACTCCAGCAGTTCTAGTACCAGTATCACGTTAAGTGGTCCTGTTGATATATTCACTGGAAACAGCCACAATATTATTCATAAATATAAAACAAGGTAATAAAATAATAGTTTCGCGAAGTATTCATCTTTTAACTTATATTTTATTTTATATAGCTCAAAAAGAGTGGCAAGTAGTAGTAAGAAGAGTAACAAGAAAGCACGTTTCAAAGAAGAAAAACCAAAGGATCGGTCTATTAATAATGATAATAATGATGATCGTGGAGCGGTCAGTATACGCAGCACTCTTTTTTTTTCTCGTATGTAGTTCTAATATGATATTGTTTTATTTATTAGGATAGTAGCAGTGATGATGATTCTCTATTCAACGATCAAGAGGAAGAGCGAGAAAACATAAATGAAACTGAAGAGCATGGTGGATCTGTGGTTGGTTTTTTCAACGTTTGCTTTTATTATTGTCATGATTTTTATTGACAAGTACGTATATTAGGTTGGCTCCAAAACGAAAGATTTTTTTGATATTGACAATGACACGTTGACAACGACTACTCCACAACAGCTCGATGTCACCGAAATTATTCCGAGCACAGCTTCATCATCATCAACATCAATTACAAGATCAGCACTCTTTCAATGGGCATATACCTTGGTAAGTTTTGTTTTTCTTGTTGATTTTAATTTTGCTCTTTTTTTGTATAACTTCTAATATTCACTTTTAAACTATCGTTAATAGTATCTCAAGAAATCGGTTACTATGTCTACAACGGTATTAGGTATCATTCGAGAACAAAGAGCGGTGTCTGTTTCCGATGCGTTAACGAAAATGGCTGCCAATCTATTGGAGGACTGGACAACAAGTGATGTAGATGATGCATATCGATTCACATTAAGGTAATACTTTTTGTTTTGGTCAATTGTAAATATAGCAGCTAGCACCCATTCTAAAACATAAATTATTATTGAATAGTTTGTCATTGTCGTTGATTGTTGATGTCGCAAATAATAATACAAGCAAAAAAATGTTAAAAGCATTGGAGCCATCTCATGTCCATGAAGTCAAGGAGCACAGCAAAAGCCAAAGTAACACCATAAAAGAATTGCCCGCTTTTTTATCATTGATATTTAAGGAAACGATTGAAGTATGTGTATTATTCATGGGGGATCGGTTCAAATGATGTATGCGATCAACAAACCAACCTTTTATTATTCAATTTGTAGTTGTTGGAGTTGGAAGGAGAACACCCAGCTTTAAGATACTTATCCAATGCCGCTTCTAAACAATTGGAAACAGAAAAAGATAACATCAATCTTCAAGTCATTGATATTCTCACTTATGTGTATGTTGGAGGAATTATTATGCCATGTATCTGTGCTACTTTTTATCTCATTTATTGACTGCTTTTATCATTTATGTTTGTAATATAGTATTCGAAACGTGAAAAAATGGGGAAATGAAAAAGGAGCAACTGAAGTAGACTGGACCCACCGCTTAGTTTCATTGTTAGATATTTTGTTACGGGATACGGATTTGTCAGTTAGAATGTAAGTGTTAAATAGAAAGGATGGGCGGATGGCAAAGGCTACTATAGTGACTGAAGCAAATATGTTTTTTTATCAAGGGGAGAAAAATGTAGCATGGCCACAAAAGTTGTACGACAAGCAAATGAACATGCATTTGGTGATAAAGAAAAAATATCCAGTATTGTTGGAAGAAAAATTGATGTAATCATGGAACACGACGAATTTGAACTCTCAGCATCGGAATGGAAATCTGCCGGAGCTGGAGACAGTTTAGTTGACAAACAGCATAACAAGAATCTTCGAGTCAATGCATGTGTGCTATTACAAATATTACGATTACCTTTTGATGGATTCAATAATGATATCAGTATCTTATCTATGGAGTGGACAGGTAATCACTTGTATATTTTTTTTTTTGCTATAAAAAAAAGTGTTGGCTCCTCAATATCTTTTTTTTTCTTTTAGGGGCTGAAGGAAAATTGGTTTCGATGAAGAGATATAATAATTATTTTGTTGGCACAACCATTGGTGACATGTACTTACCCTTGACATTGGACGATATTAGTGATTTCCATAAAACACTCACTTTATTATTGCATTGGAAGGTTAGTGGCATTTTATATACTGTGACATCTGCTTGAAGGGGTGACAAATACTAATATGCTGTAAACTTAGAATGAACATCTTAAGTTACGAAAAGTAGTCCGTGGCCCTCTACTTAGACAAAGAAGATTTGAACGATCACGATCCAATTATACCTCATCTATAGCCACTTCAGCAAATACAAACCCTGATATATTTTTCACTCCAACCCAAGATAGATCATCCAATTGATTTCGTCTTTGTCAATATTCCCCCACTTCTTTAACACTGTTGTTAGTATTTACCCGTTTTCTCTCTCTTCGTGCTGTTCCATATTGTATCAACCAGAAATTATCTCAACAATTATATACCTTGTATCATGATTAATACAAACCTTTTTTATTTGAGTATGTACATATCAATTTGTTTCAAAACATATAGAATAACGATACACAAAAGGTGTCTTATCCTCTCATCTATTTCTCTGTCTTTCTCGTTATTATTATTAATATTATTATTATTATTGAACGCCGCGCCATGAATAATTTCTTCTCTTTTCTAAAGTTTCAGGAACCTAAAACAGCAGTATTGTTCACATATTATAATAGAAAGATTATTGGCACCAACAAAACTACAAATAAACAAGTATGTCCCCTTCCGTCATATAACGAATAATTTTAACCAACAAGCTATGGAACAAAAAAAAAATCCACCTCACTTCACAGGCTCAATTCATTTTCATGGGAACCTTTGACACATCACCCTATATGCATAACCTGTACTATTCAAACTCTTTTTTTCCAAATTGTTACTTTGAAGAAGATCTTGTAGATGATTGTACCAGGATATTTTCGGTTCAATTGTTTTTTTGACTTGCTCTCATCCAATTTTGATTAATATACAACCTTTTTTCCTCTCTTTTCTTCCATTTTCATATCATTTGTTGTTGTTTTGCTGATCACACGCTAAACTATAGTTTTTTATATCATACTATACTATCAAACTAATTAAAATGCACACAGGTAGACCATTCGTGGTATAAAACAGAGATGAGATATTATATTGTGTGCAATTTGTTATTATTTGGTTTGCTATGTATAATGCCAAATTGAAAATATGGCTTGCGCCAAAATGAAAAAAAAAACCAAGTGCCAAGTAAAAAACCACTGTCAGCCATTCTAATTTTTCATGCGCCAAGTTATATTCCCCATCTGCCAAATGGAAATTCGTGTCACGCCAAATTGAAAAGCAAGATGCGCCAAACATTAGTGAAAATCCTGTATAACTTGCTGACAACTCGTTTCTTAGAGGACTCGCTAAAGTGGTACTACCAGCTCAACATGAATAGGAGCACGTTTTAGTCATTCTATTGGCTAATCCATCCTCTCTGACATCACTCCTGTTTGGATAAGAAATCACTTTCATATTTAAGCCGTCCATCTCTTTCTTTTTGTGACACCACCATTCTTTCTCGAACATAACTTCTTTAGCCATATCACTCTTGAGTCTTTCCAGCGCTACACTTATCACGCTAATTTCCAGAAATTATGTTAACAACAAAGTCATGGATCAAAAGTGACAAGCGTATCGTGATCGAAACCAGACAGAAGCAGCCACGTTTGTCCTGGGATGAAATCGCCAAGTTGACCAGTGAGCCACACTCGGCGCAAGAATGCCGAAGAGTTTATGAAGAGCATCAAATGAAAACGGCAGGCCATCATTGATATCATTTGTATTGATTGCGGTATAAATGTTGTCAGGCAAATTCAACTAATATGTTATATCGTGAACACTATAGCGCAAGAGCTCGTCTTCTGAGCCTGAAGTAGATGATGCTGGTAAAAGAGAGCAGCCAGAAGTAGCATCGTTTCCTGCCTATCGAGTACCCATACGCACCGTCAAGTTTTGGACAAAGCAGGAGGAACACAATTTACCAAAATACCGTGAGACGCAAAAAATGACATTCAACTCCGTGGCTATGGAGATGAATCGCACCGTCGCTTCCGTCAAGAGCAAGTACTACCGACTGAAAGAGAAACAACGTCTACAATCACAACAAGATGAAGACGAGAGCCCCGAATTGTTGTCAACAGAAAAAATAGCAGCAGCAGCACGCAGCAACAACAACGTGGACGCTGGGTCCGATAATGACGGCCGCGACGACAGTAAAAACATCGAAACGAGCTACCGGACCGGAAAGTCTTGGTCCAAGGAAGAAGAGCAAACACTGGCCCACTATCGCCAACAGGGATTACCGTGGAAAGAAATCGCCCTCAAGATGGACCGCTCTGTTGGCTCATGCACTTCCAAATGGCAGAGTATTATAAAAAAAGAAGCAATGCCAGAACAACAACAGCAGCGGAAACAGCAAGAGCGATCATCATCCGCGCCGCGTCCGCCACCTCCATCTTCAGCGCCATCTGTCACAAGCGCTGATACTACCAAAACCACGAAAAAGTATACAGATGATACCATCACCGACGCTGCGAACACTCCAGCATCCAACGCCCCAAGTTTGAGAAGACCCTATCAGTCTTGGACAGCAGAAGAAACAGATGCGCTGGTTCGGTACCGTAACAAGAAGCTGCCATGGGAGGAAATTGCTCTCAGATTGGGTCGGAGTGTGGCCTCATGTCAAGCCAAGAATCGGCGTCTTTAAACACTCCAACACCATGTATGTATTCAATAAAAGAAGTAATGTTTTGTTGTCTCTAGTCGGTAGTAGTAGTCAATAAGTATAGTAATATTCTCTTCTACTGTTCCCGTAGGAGGAAAAAACTGTCAGGAGTATCCTTAAACAAAAAAAGTTGCCAAGTAACTTCATCTTGCGTCGTTTAAAAAGCAGTGTAAGAGAGTGTACAGTATATCTGACTTTTAAAGTGTTGCCTCGCAAAAGAGATATATAAACACCGGGTACTGTAAATTTTTACGTACTTCACCTTCCTTTTTTGGATTTTTACGTACTTAGCCTCCAAGTTTTTATGTACTTAGCCACTCAAGTACGTAAATCGGTTCTGACGCTGTATATTTGTACTATAAAATTTTACGTACTTCCTATTTGGGAATTTTACGTACTTCTTGTCTTTTTTGTGCCTCGTTTGAGTAGATCATACGAATAGCTACCATTGATGTAGCCTATCATACTTTGACTCTGTATAACCGTCGCAGCTACGATGGCTACTGTAAATTTTTTACGTACTTCACCTTACTTTTTATGCAAAAATTTACGTACTTGGCCACCGAAGTACATAAATGTTATAAACATTCTTCGACCTCTAGTAAGTGATCATCCTCAACCTCGTTGATGACATATTAAATCCCCATCTATCATCATCATCCGAATTATCGACCTTAATACCAATCTTTCCGTTTATTCACATCATTGAATTCTATAGTAAAGACATAAATATATATATATCATAGTCTTTGAACGATAAAACATCAGTCAGTTATCTTGTTTCCTCCCTGTACCTTGTTCTTGTTTCTTTCCTCACTATCTGGTTTCCTACCTTCTGGCTTCCTTCTTGTCTTGTCCTGTTCTTGCCGAAAGCACCTAGCACATTCTCGTCCGGTGTTTCTGGCCTTGTGTTGTCTTGTCCCTGTTCGCACCTTACAGTAAATCAGTTCTCGCGCTGTATATTTAACCTATAAAATTTTACGTACTTCTCATTTTGGAGTTACATACTTCCGATTTTACGTACCTGCTGTATATGATTTTTAAGTACCTTGAGCGCTAAAAGGACCATACATGTTGTTGTTATTACTTTGAAGATTTTGTATATATAATCAAATTTCACGGAAGGGCAAGAAAGCCTACACTATGTTTTAAAGGTACGTAAAGGTTGACGTACGTAAAAATTGGTGTTAGTATGATTGTATGACTAGTGAGTGTAAGTAGTCAAGGAACGCGCTCAGAAAAAGAGACCGGTTTTCCTGCCAGAGCGACTGCTTTACCTGCAATCGCCGAAAATGGAAGTACGTAAAAATTCGCGCACCCATAAACACCGGAAGCTTTTTGGGAATAAGCGACAATATCCATTGCTTTCATGTGTGTCCTTACTCTGAAAACAGTATCATGATGGCAGCATATCAATGTAGCTGCTTCCCTTATGACTGGAAGTGTTTTCACTATAGGTTGATAAATTATTTTTGAAAATCTGAATGAGAATGCGAAAAAGGTCATCAACTGGTAAAAGAAAATATAATGACTTAGTGGAAGTAACACATAGTGGTTTTGTTACAGGATTTTCACTAATGTTTGGCGCATCTTGCTTTTCAACTTGGCATGACACGAATTTCCATTTGGCAGATGGGGGCTGACAATGGTTTTTTACTTGGCACTTGGTTTTTTTCATTTTGGCGCAAGCCATATTTTCAATTTGGCATTGGATGGATTATATTTTGGTACTCTCAAAATTCTGACCTTATACATAACAAACCAAACAATAACAAATTGCACACAATATAATATTTCATCTCTGTTATATACCACAAATGGTCTACCTGTGTGCATTTTAATTAGTTTGATAGTATAGTACAGACACTACCTGTATTATCGATGGCTAGATCGGTAAAGCTTTCTTATCTTTGGAACAAAAAACAACCAGATAAATAATAGAGAAAAATCACTACCGGGAATCCACTCCACCAACGTTACAACAAATTGCGCAAAACATTGATCCACCAAAATTCCCAGTTGCAAAAGCAATGACTGAAAAACGAGACG